AAGCTGCCTCCAGTAGACCAGCTAATGGCCGCCACTCTCACTCATTCAAAGCTGCAGTAGACAGCAAGTCAGGCAGTACTACATCAGGAGAGAAGACATCTAAACTTCCAGCAGCTCTGTCTCTTATTGTTTCTCTTCTTTTATCTTTATTAAGATATATGAAGCTCAATTTTATTCCTCCAACTGGTAAACAAACTAATAGTATATATACATAATAATTATACAGTGTATTTTACAATAGATATAATTACTGTTACTGTTATGATCATCTGTTGCCTTAAGTCATTAGTCTTGCTTATTGGCAGTAGCTCTGACCTGATCTACCATTTGGTTTTACTTCTCCTCCTCCTCTTATCAGGAGATGTTGAACTCAATCCTGGTCCTATGATTGATGATCAACCATCTTGTCTCTTATTTGCAAAGTATCTTGAACCACTTGTTAATTGGGAACCATTTGCTCTTTGCCTTCCTGGTGGGATAACACAACTTGATGTTGATATAATTAAAACAAAAGGAAGCTCATACCTCAGGATGGAGGCATTACACAAGACATGGTTACAAGTTAATCCTACAGCATCATGGAGAGATGTCATTAATGCTTTGAAACAATGTAAAGAGAATGAACTAGCTAGAACTATTGAAGACAAAGTGACAAATCCCACAGCTGGAAGAAGTACTGCTATAACAGGTAAAATACAAATAATACAAAATGACACTCATTAGCTATACACTACTGCAGGTAATCCAAAGGATATTTTAAGGACTCATTCTGTTAAACTTGTGAATGGTATTTCTATTGACATTCCAAGAACAGCATATGCACTGTATGCTAAAGAACTGATACCACAACAAACTAAACAGGAAATGCTTGTACCAGCAGTTGATAATTATACTAAAGCTGCCAATCTTATGAATGTCATTGAGCAACAGTTGGAAGCTTCTCTTAGTCCAGAGCAGTATCTTATTGATATATGTCATGTATTAATAAACCAACAACATCATACACTAACAAATATTGCTACATCTATATTACACCAGTTAGGTGAGTGTGAGTGTGTGTGTGTACATTATCAGTGATCAATATAGTCATTATATCTCAATACATTAGGTCAGTCTATACCTGATAATGTCAGTTCACATACTGTACTACCATCACTAGTTGATGATGCATTCAATACACTAGTTACTAATATAAAAGGTAATAATTAATGATAATTTATTATTTAATGTGTATACATTGTTTTTATGTATCTTGATCATAGGTCAGTCTCAGTCTGATGTAGCTAAAACCATTAGTTCAATACCTGATGATGTTCAAGGATATGCTGACAATATGAGACAACACTACAAGCACCAACCTATTGTTGCTACAGACTGGCCACCAAGAATTGGAAAAGATTTTTTTGGAAGACTAGCACTAGTAGAAGAACAAGACTCCAGCACACAAGCAGAATCAGCTTGGCATCTGCTAAGAGGACAAGTTGATGAAACAGTTAAACTAACTGGAAACAAAGAGATAAGTGTTAAAAATGTCCTCCAACCAACAGATAGTTCTCTGTCTCTCAGAGTAGTAATAGATGGTCCTCCTGGTATTGGCAAGACAACACTCTGTCGTAAACTGTTAAACATGTGGTCAAATGGAACACTTGTACACCAACAGTATGACTTGGTACTTTACTGTCCTTTAAGGAATAGCAAGATAGCTACAGCTACTACACTAGCTGACCTGTTTGTGCGTCAACGTTATGAAGTTCCCATGGTAGCAGAATGGTTTGAGAAGAGGAATGGAGAAAGATTACTGATAATCTTTGATGGTTGGGATGAACTAAGCGAACAACTCAGAAGGTCTTCATTAGCTGCTAGTATCATTTGTAAAGAGAAGTTAGACCAATGTTCAGTAATTGTTACCTCTCGTAGCTATGCCTTATCTTCACTTTTGAAAATGGATACTCTCAGTAGACATGTTCAGGTCATTGGGTTTTCTGAGGAAGAAATATCAACAGTAATTATACAAACACTTCAGAAAGATACAAAACTAGCCCAAGGACTCATTGATGAAAACACTGAACAATATCCAAAGTGGTTTAAATCTACATGTCAGTACAAATCACATTTCACAACTACTCAAAGCAGTAAAGATTCACAACTAGCAGTGAAACTCATTAATGATCTTAAAGTACGAAATGATGTCCATTCATTGTGTTATGTACCACTAGTCTGCTCCATGGTCATCTTAGTTTATTGTAAGGAAGGAGGACATTTACCAACAACACTCACTCAAATGTATGAAAACTTTATCCTGCAAACTATCAGAAGACGTGTGGAAATAAAACCAAGACATGACTTTAATCCATATACTTTAGATAGTCTTTCTTCATTACCATCACAATTAGCTAAACCTTTACAAGAGATGTGTCAATTAGCTTATACTAACCTGGCTAGTACAACAATGACATTCTCTTCACATCAACTACAGTCACTGAGTGAGGCAGTCAAGGAAGACTATCTTGGATTGATGACAACATTCATAGAATATGATGAGGAAAAATATCAGTTCCTTCACTTGACTATACAGGAATTTCTAGCTGCATGGTGGATAGCTAAGCATGAGAAGAAGACAGTGAAAGTGTTTAAGGATTACTTTGATGATGATCACTTTCGAATATGTCTGAGGTTTGTGGCAGGTCTAACTCACCTTAAACATCAGAGCTATCAAAAGTATTTTAATAAACAGCTTGATTTACAGTGTAAGACAAAACCATTGCTTGGATTTGATTGTTATTACTTTAATTGTCTTTCCTCCTTCTATCAAGATCCTACAAAAAGAAAATTCAATCATTTAAATTCCGATGATGATATTTTCAATGCTCTCACTTCACTTTTTATTCAAGTTCAACTCCTGTATGAATCACAAAACACAACATTATGTCAAGCATTAGCACAATCCATCAACAACCACTCACTGTGTCTGTATAGAGTATCATTATCATTGTTTGACTGGTTGTGTCTCAGTTATTGTATAAACAATTCTAACACAACATGGAATCACTTGCACCTGGGGCATATGTCTAACCAGTCACTATCAGTCTTCACTGCTGGACTAACCAATAACTCACTGCAGACCCAGTGTAAGAGACTGGAGATAGAGTTAATCAATGAACCCACTGATGAAATAATACACAAATTTTTACAGTCATCACTGCTATACAATATTGAAGAGTGCTGTTGTGGATTAAGTATAGGTCGATATTTTCCCTGTCATGTATATCTTTTACAGTTCCTCAAACTTCCTCAATTGAAGATACTTGACTTAAAAATAGATTGTCCTACTATGCCAGCAGTATTTGTTGATGGCGATGCAGCAAAGTGCAGTGAACTTGAGAAATGTATAGCAATCAATACAAAACTATGGAAAGTAAAGATTACATATAGGGGATTACCAAGTACCATCATTAGTAGTGTAGTTCGAGGAGTAACAAAAAATAAAGCAATAACATCATTAACACTATGTGTAAATTTTCGTGATAATATTCCAATTCCTCCCTTACCTGATGGAGTAATAGAGCAGTTGCTAAAGGACAACAACACATTGCAAGCTCTTTCACTGGACATACCTGATGAACTCCTACCATCATCACTGAATATAGTAGAGGTGAACACACCACTGACTTCTCTAGAGATAGGAAAGAGTAGTAAACTGATGATATCATCACTCCTTCCACATATCAAAGGATTACACTGTCTGGCACTACCTGATCCATACCCACCACATCTTCTATTTCTCTCTCATCCCAGTCTACATACACTTACTTTACCACTAGACACAGCTGAGAGTGCTATTGAACTATTTACTATTCTACAAACCAATACTACACTTAAAGCTCTGAGTGTGGAGATAAAGAAGGAGAGAGTATATACCAGCAGTATGGGTACTAGTCTACAAGACATGCTAACACAAAACCAAACTCTGAAATACCTTGCAATTACTATGTGCCGTAGGACTATTTTCAGTTCATTTCTGTCTTTCCTAACAAATGGTCTCAAATCCAACACCAGTCTACAGCACTTGAGTGTACCACTTCCACTAAATGAAGATGTAAAAATTTTTATTAATTGCATTTCTCAGAAAAACAATCTAACAGAAATTAAAATGTACTTCAAACTTGATTGGCCAAACGTTAACTCTGACGAGAAGAAACAAGAATTGAGATCATTGTTTTATGAACAGGTACTACCTGCTGTTACTGAAATGTTACAAACACATAAAACCATCAGACTACTAAACATTGACTGTTTAGGAATTTTTATTAACTTTGTTGGGGAATCTCAACCTACCTGGATAAAACTAGCTCGACACTTATATGAAACTATCTTCATCCATCCATCACTTGAATATGTTGAGTTACAGAACAATACTCTCCTGCGAGTTGTTCTTTACTCTCAAATGAAGACATTGATTGATAGACATAAAGAAGAACAACCACACAAACCACTACCGATAATCCATATTTCAGATACTGGTATACGCAATGATGATGAGGACAGCACAAATGGACTGCAATATAGTATCGCAAGCTATCGTCAGTTTCAGTTGAATGTGGCCACTGACCCACCCTCTTTTATGCTGTAGTTTTTCTTACGTTGTAGTTTGATATCCCTTTTGTCTTAGCACTATTGACTGTTATTGTTATTACTAATTGTGCACATTAGATTCTACTAACAGTAAACGTGATTGTGACTTGCAAATGTTTTTCTATCAAATATTCAGTTCCCACCCCTAGTCCACCACATTTTAAATTTATTATATAGCTAGAGATGCATTAGTATATACTACAGTCAAATCTCACATTGTTGAACTCTAAAATAAGGACACCTCCTATAATCAGAGCAGGTATACAGTATCAGTCCCAATACAATATAAATGTGTATTAATCAACCTCTAAAATAAGGACACTTCTATAATAGGTACATTTTCATTGGGTCCCAAGGTATCCAAAATAGACAGGTCTGAGTGTAAATTTATCCACTCCTTTATTTGTTAAAAAGATAAAAACCACATTAATCAGATCCACACATTCAGTCACACAACAAAGCTAATGCATTAGTAATCTTCTTTCTAAGATCCTTTGACATTCCTTATTGCTTTCTCCAACATATCCCATTGCTCTTGAGTGACCTGTACCAGAAGTGAAGAAGTAATATGAAAAGGCTACATTAATTAATGAGCCAACACAACCACCACACTTCAATCTAATTTTGTACAAGCTACAGCTTCCATTAAATTAATCTCTAAATCATTAAAATTATTTATACTCAAAAGTTAGTAGACTGGTAGTTACAGCAAAGTTAGTTACATTGTATAAAAAATACATATGGCCAGCTAGGCAGCACATACACGTACATGTACTGTAGGCAGTAGCTAAAAACTTTTATAGCACATTAACAGTACTCTAAAAGTCCCATATACATGTACATTGCATTTAAACACAAGGACTTGTATATTTACATGCATTTAAAAGACTCTTTCTCTCCCCCTTACTTGTGTGAGCTGATTGAACATTCCAGCAGCATATGGTAACTGTCCACCATCAAAAGCAATAATCTCTCCATTAATCCAACTAGCATAATCACTGACAAGGTAAGTGGAGAGGTTTGCCAGTTCTTCAATTTCACCTAATCGTCCAATGGGAACCTGTTCCAGTGTTCTCTTCATGAACTGACCAGTTGGATCAAGACGAGTGAAAGCACCCTATAAATACATTTGGAATTACAAAAATCTTGGTATAATTCTAAAATTTCTGTCAATTAGCATATAATCACAAAACTAAAGCATGTACATGTACAGTCAAACCTGTCTAAAACGGCCACCTTGGGACATGCATTTAGTGGCTGTCTTATGCAGGTGGCCTTTTTATAGAGATGCCTTTAAATACAGTTTAAATTATTTTGTACACATTTACTGGCCATAGAAACTATATAACAAGACTTAAAGAACTTTTAGGTACCCCTAAAGACCTAAACTAAGTGGTATACAGTATTATTTCGAAGGTATTATTTGAGATAACAATTAAAAAAAATTAATCATTATTAATGTGTAAAAATTAATTCAAAATGGGCATGGTACAATAGACGTGGCTATCTGGCCGCCTGTACACAGTGGTGGTCTTTATCAGTCTTGATGGAGATTAATTCTGTCAGTGACCATTAACCATCTTACAGAGTGACCGCTGAGACAGGTAAGTTTAGTATTACAGTCATTGTCCAAAAAATTGGGACATTAAATAGTGACCGTTTTAAAGTAGCTGGCTGTTTTAAGCAGTGACCGTTTAGACAGGTTTGACTGTATACGTATCTATGGCAAAATATTCAGTCTTCATTTGCTCATTATCAAAATTAAATTAAAACAAAATTATACATGTAATGTACATGTACATGTACATATTTCATACATGTACATGTATTAAGTATGATACCTTAGTTTCAATAGGTCCTGGGGCTATAGCATTAAACCTCATTCCATATCGTCCCCACTCACTAGCTAACGACCTAAAAATAATTAATAGGAACCACAATCTCCTATATACATGTACAATGTAAATCAGTTCTTTTAGTTTGTGCTCACGGATAAAATAGTTTAAAATGGCCATAACTGAAAAATTTTTGGTTGAAATTTTCTACACAGCACAAGGACATTAATACAATGTATGTATCAAAAAATGTAATAAAAATTGGGGGGAGCCAATTTTCGGAAAAAACCAGGGGCTATAGCCTTAGGCATCTTTCAGAAAATTGGTCATTTTTAAAATGGCCATAACCAGAGAAATTTACGTCGGAATCAGCTAAAACTTACACAGGATAAGGACATCAATATGCATCAAAAAAAGTAATAAAAATTTGGGGTGATTTAGGAGCCATTTTTCAGAAAAAACCATGGGCTATAGCCTTGGGTATTTTTCAGAAAATGGGTCATTTTTTAAAATGGCCATAACTTGAAAAATTTAAGTCGGAATCAGCTCAAACTTTCTACACAGCATAAGGACATTAATATGCATCAGAAAATGTAATAAAAATTTGGGGTGATTTCGGAGCCATTTTTTGGAATAAACCATGGGCTATAGCCTTGGGTATTTTTCAGAAAATGGGTCATTTTTTAAAATGGCTATAACTTGAAAAATTTGAGTCAGAATCAGCTAAAATTTTCTACACGGAATAAGGATATCAATATGCATCAAAAAATGTAATTAAAAAATGGGGTGATTTCGGAGCCATTTTTCAGAAAAAAACATGGGCGTACAGGGAATTTTCTGAAAATGACATATTTCTTTAAACAGCCATAACTAGAGAAATTTACGTCGGAATCAGCTAAAACTTTCTACACAGCATAAGTACATCAATATGCATCAGAAAATATAATAAAAATTTGGGATGATTTTGGAGCCATTTTTCAGAAAAACCATGGGCTTATTATAGCCTTGGGTATTTTTCAGAAAATGGGTCATTTTTAAAAATGGCCATAACTTGAAAAATTGAAGTCGGAATCAGCTAAAACTTTCTACACAACATAAGAACATCAATATGCATCAGAAAATGTAATACAAATTTTAAAAGGCCATAACTAAAGAAATCAGCTCAAAATTCTACATAGTATAAGGGTATCTAATAATTTCGACCATAATACATAATTTCAAAATTTTCAAGGATTTCTCCCGTTCTATCTTCCCTGTTCTTTACCTAGTCATTGTTTCCACACCAGCTTTAGCAGTAGCTGAAGGTACCACAAATCCAGAACCAAATTGAGTATAAGTAGTAGTTATAGACAAAAAATTAGCACCTAATAATAATAATATAAAAATAATATGTACATATTATAATACTAATACTAAATAATAATAATAATAAATAACAATAATATAGGCAATTTGCAAATAATAAATTGTCAATATTAAAAGACCTAATCTTCAATGCACATGCATGTACATGTACATGTACATGCACTGTACATGTACATGTGCAAGTACACGCATACTTATAGTGCACATGATCAAAAATTGCCAAACTACTGTATAGGGGGTATATTTCCTGGGGAAAATATTTCACAAAAATCACCATTCAATCTATTCACAAGAAAAGTTTTTGCATTTTTTTCTACTGACCACTATTAGTTTGATAAAAAAAACTTTCATAGATAAAATTTTCACAAATTTTTAAAACCACAAAATTAAATACCCATGAAATATACATGTACCCCTATACAGTAGAAGCTTTTATAGCAAAAATTAAGCACCACCAAGCAATACATGTTTCATACATATACATGTACATGTACATATACACCCATTCCTAGTACATAATATAGCAAGGCTGCAAAAGTCATGGTAGCCATTTGAAGTGGGATGAATTCCACATGTACTTAATAACGCTACCATGTTAGTAATACAATATATGCAGAGTACAGGATAACATTAAGTACATGTAGAGCATCAGCATAATGATAAATACTAGTACTATTATTACTAAATACTACAATACTGTATATTTTTAATAACAAACCTTTCTTTGCGGCGATCAATCTTTTCCCAAACTCCAGTGATACGTGAGCAGTACCCATCAGTACTATATCCACAATAGTACGGAATGCATTGGGACTCAGTCTCTCGGTGGGTGATATAAAGTTCCCAGCAGCATTGTTGATTATAATATCAGGGAGACCACCCATACTCTCAGTGAATTCATCAGCTACTCTACTGACAGCCACTGGATCACGTACGTCTAATTGAAATGGTACAACCTAATGAGTATGAAGAATAGCAAATTATTTCATTAAAATTTAAAGTAAGAGTAAAATTAGTTACATGTACATGTACATGTTAATTTCTCAATATTACATGTATTGTAATTTCTGAGTGTGAAACCTAATGTACGGTCTACATGTACATGTATAATGCTCCTTATAAGGTATGACCCATGTGCTGTAAATTTAGTTTTTCCATTAAAATTTACTATATAAAATGTTGCAATGTTGTATTTACAAGTACATGTACACATTCACTTTTATACATGTGTATTCTTCTATAGGGACAAAGTGTTTTGATTAGACTCATTAATGTTTACAAAAAACTCTTCTCACTTTATGTATGCAGACTAAAATATTTTTTTGACAGTCCACACATTCAAAAATTTTAATTCAAGCCCTCTCAATACTTCAATAGACAATTAATTTAATTTGACAATTTAATTGTACCTTAGAGGAAGTCTTGTCGCTCATCTCTTCAGCTGCTTTTTGTACAACCTCCATTTTCCTAATTGAAATACAAAATATCAATTAAAAGTATTATACATGTATATCAATTGTGGACAAACACTACATGAACATGTACAATGCAAAGGCTGTAACTTTCAATGAAATTAGTTTAAAAGTTTTGAATTATTCCCATCTTCTATCCCTGCCTCTCTCTCTCTCCCTCCATCATTCCCTCTCTTCATTATGCAAAACTTTGAGGGCTGTAAATTTCCAAATTTGTCTAAAAATCTATTTTACTGATTTAATTCTCGAGAATTTATGCTGTCTACCATCTTGTACTATAACAATTTAATTTTCACGGAATTAATATTCTCAAATCCTTAAAGGATCACAAAATCCGTGAAATTTATAGCCTTTAAAAAATTAAAAAATACAACAAAAATTTTAAAATTTCCACATACGCCAAATTTACAAAAATACAAAAATAAAAAAAACAGCAAAAAAAATTGTGCTGCATGGTACTTGCTCGTTCATACCTACTAGCTATGCCCACTCCAGCTCCTAATTCTGCCATCATTTGAGCTATTCCTTTACCCAGTCCGGTCCCTCCACCAGTCACTAGAGCAGTCTTGCCTGATAAGGATCCATCAGGTAATAGTCTCTTTCTAAGAGGAGGAGGATGGAGCTGTGACAAAAATCTCTTGTATACAGCAGCCATGTTGAGCTTGAGCCACACCTTCAATTTAGATCACGTGATGGGCAACTACTAGCACACGTGGGAGCACGTGGCTGTTTGTAAGAATAAAGATGGCGTCCGTTACAAAACCCATTAAAAGGAAGGCCTCTCCTGACGAAAGACAAGAGGATGATGGAGTTCAGTTTATTCCAAAGAGAATGGAGCTCCAGCCTTTAAAAAATGAATCTATTTATTACTTTAGAAATGGTTAGTACTAAGTACGCCCACGCAGTCACGTGATCTTTTTGTTTTTCAGGTCTGAGGCACGTGATCCCTTACTATTTCAAGTTTTCTACTCATGCTAAAGGTCGATGGGTTGGTCGGAAGGTCTATGATGTTTTTAGTGAAGAATTTCAAAGCGAAAAACCAGAATATTACGTAAGCCTATGAACCATATTTGACAAAAGGGTGTGGTTAATTTATTATTATTATTATTATTATTATTATTATTATTATTATTATTATTATTATTGTAGGAAAGAGCTATTAATCTCGGCAAAGTGACTGGTAATTTATTTAATTATTATTAAAATAATTAAATTTTAAAATTATCGTTTGTTTGTAGTAAATGGTAAAGTTGCTACCATGGAAACTGTCATCAAGGATAATGATGTTGTAACTCATTTGGTTCATAGACACGAGCCTCCAGTCTCCTCTCAATCAATTAATATAATAACCAACAATAAGGAGCTACTGGTGGTCAATAAACCACCTTCTATACCAGTATGATATATTATAATAACAAAGAATAAATAATACATACTTTACATACATACTAGGTGAAGATTTTCACTTAAAATGTTTACCTCAGAGTGTGTAAAATGTTTTACACTCAAAATGGGTTTTTTTTTTTACCTTAAAGTGGGTCAAAAATTTAGCCTAAAATTTAGTAATATTCACCTTGGACATGAACGAATAATTTTTACATGAAATTTGTTAATTTTCACCTCAAAATTTTTAAATAAAATTTAGTAAGAAGTTGAAAGTTTTTACCTATAATTTTGGTACTTTTTGCCTTCAAGTATGTGTATTGTTTTACAGGTACATCCTTGTGGTAGATACAGGCAGAACACAATGATTAATATATTGAAAAATGAATATGACATTGATAATATATACAGTAAGATATTAATATTAATTACTATTTTTTGTTATTTTTGTTTTCAGCTATTCATAGGTTAGATAAGTGTACCTCTGGTTTGTTGTTGTTTGGTAAAAGAATATCAAAAGTGCAGGAGATTGAGGAGCAGATAAGAGACAGACAAGTACATAAAGAATATTTAGCATTAGTTAATGGACACTTCAATCAGTGAGTAATAATAATATTTGATATTATTATTATTATTATATTCTATGAGATATGTTGCTACAAGATACATATACGTGTACTTATGTTTTTTTTAAATTTGAACTGATTCTGATTAAATTTGGATTTTATACAAATTTTTTAATTTGCTCCGAAATTGGGTCAAATTCCCTGTACTATAGTCCAGGAACGTGGGCCAAATTTCACCAAAAATGGAAAGGGGAAAATTTACCATTTTAATAATTTTTTCTAATGCATATACATGTTTTTGTGTTGCGTAAAAAGTTTGAGCTGTTATCAATCAAATTTATATTTTTTATGAATTTTTGAAGTTGCTCCAAAATTGGGGAAAAGTTCCTGGACTATAGTCCAGGAACTTTGGCCAAATTTTGCTAAAAATGAAAAGGAGAGAATTCTCCATTTTTATAATTTTTTATGATGCATATACATGTTCTTATGTTGTGTAACTAATTCCGATCAAACTTGGATTTTTTACAAATTTTTAAAGTTGTTCCAAAATCGGGCCAAAGTTATCAATTACCTATATTTTATTATTATTGTTATTTATAGTTGACTGGCTTAGGGAAACCAACAAATAAATATAAGTTAAAATATAATATTAATTGATCATAACAAGCATACATGTACATGTACAATGTACATGTACAATGTACATGTACACCTATTCATCTTCATGTACATGTACTCATAATAATTATCTTTTTTAATGAATCTCTCTTTTCTCCCCATACAGTCCAGGTACTATTGAGTGCAATGAGTCTATTAAAGTATTATCACATAAAGTTGGTGTATGTATGGTTGATCCAGTGAATGGGAAGGATTGTTCCACATCATTTACACTGTTACACTATGATAAAACTAATAACAGGAGCCTTGTGAAATGTAAGAACAATATTTTAATTAATTAATAAACTTGCAGCAATCTCAAGCAGTATATGATCATGAATCATTATTTTTTAATTGTTGCTAATGGATTTTATTTTTGTTCTCTTAATTAGGTGAACCAAAAACAGGTAGAATGCATCAAATAAGGGTTCACTTACAATATTTAGGTTAGTGTGGTGTGTGTCCTCATTAATAATACACAATGTAGTACTTTTAGTATAAAGGAGAAACGTACATGTACATGTACATGTACATGTACAAAATTATCTTTCTATTAAATATTATCATTGTTTTATTATCAAATCAATAGGTTTTCCTATTATTAATGATCCTTTATATTCTCATTCCTGTTGGACTAAACACAATCAAACTGAAAACGTAAAGAAGTACATGCACACATGTCCATTATGTCCACCACAAATTTACTCTCTATTAAATGGTTTTTTATTATTTGTTACAGATATTATCAGATATTATTGCCTCACGGTTTCCACAGCAACCAATTATTAACGAAACCACTGACACAATAAAAACTGAAGAAATAGAGAAAAAGGAAGAGAGTGAAGCTAAAGGAACAAACAATTCCGGTCTTGTTTTGAAGGAGAAAAAATATGAAGAAGATAAGGAAATTATTTTTAACGTTGATCCACACTGTACAGAGTGTCATGCTCCATCTCGTCCAGACCCCACCCACAATGAATTAATAATGTATTTACATGCACTGTCATACACTGGACCAAACTGGGGGTACAGGACGGACCCCCCAGAATGGGCCCGGGAATATTTGAAAGATTTATAGACAACTTTAATTAATAATTTTTATAATAAGTAATAAAGTTATTATTTTTTATAAAAAATCAGAATCATTCTAATTTTGGCAAATTTGCAATATCGGGCACTCCTTCAAGGCTTCAATACATGAATTGATCTACATGTACCTAAGAAGTTTTTACTGACTGCAAATGAAGCTTACTTAAGAAATGTGAGGTAATAATTATAAAATGACAGTTTTGATGTATCTTATTGTGAAATAGCAAGATGGTATCGAAAAGCTCGTGGGGTGTCAGAAAGATTAATCTACTATAAGACATGTTGATGTGTAAGTTAATACATACTATACAGCGCAAATATTTTTTGATGGCTATAAATTTTGTGATTCTGTGAAGTTGAACAAAATCCATGGTTTTTTTAATGGCTCCAAAATCACCCCCCCCCCCCCAAATTTTTATTACATTTTCTGATGCATATTAATGTCTTTATGCTGTGTAAAAAGTTTGACTTGGATCTGACTTAAATTTTTCTGCCTTTTAAAAAAAGGAACCAATTTCTGAAATTTACCCTGTACTATAGGCTAGCGCACACTTTTTCCAAAAAATAGCAAACAAACACAAATTGAAATTATAACAGAATAAGCAGAACAGAAAAGAATGTTAAAATGGTGTATGCATAAAAAAGAACACTTTTAAAGCAAATCACTAATATAAAGTAGTATTAGTACCAAGTTTAATTGTTGGTCCTTTTCTACCAATCTCATTCTCCTGATTCTTAAGAATACTTAGCATGAAAAGATTAGCCTGTCTACTAGTAATTTCTATACATTCAAGTGATGGATGGATAAAGATAGTTTCATACAAACGTTGTACTAGTTCTATCCAGTTAGGTTGAGAGAACCACCCATTAATGTAACCACACTTTATCCACAGTAATCTGATAGCTGTATGTGACTGTAGCATGTTAGTAACAGCAGGTAGTAAGTGTTCATAGAACAATAGTGTCATTATTTGTTCTTTCTCTTCCTCATCACTCCAGTCACTGCATGACTGGTCTAGTTTGAAGTTCACTTCAAGTTCTGTGAGATTGTTTTTTTGAGAGATGACATTTAAAAAAGTTCTTATTTCTTCATTTAATGGAATGGATACACTCAACTGCTGCAGACATGTGCTGTGTCTGAGGCCAGTTGTTAGGAAGGACAGGAATGAACTGGAAATGTTACTATTATAGGTAATAATCTCAAGGCATTTTAGTGTTTCGTTTTTCACTAACATATCTTTTATACTATTATTTACTGTCACTACATTCAAAGCTCTGAGCAGATCTTCCATTAACATACCAAGAATATACCCAGTAGATGAAGAGGTGGTAACCGTATTACTGGTATATACTCTCTCCTCCTTTATCTTCAATCTCAGAGCTTTAAGTGTAGTATTGGTTTGTAGAATAGTAAATAGTTCAATAGCACTCTCAGCTGTGTCTAGTGTTAAGGTTAGTGTTTGTAGACCGGGATGAGAGTCAAATAGAAGATGTGGTGGGTATGGTTCAGTTAGTATCAGGCAGTGTAATCCTCTGATGTGTGGAAAAAGCAATGACATTGGTGTAACTTTAGTAGTACGTACATGTAGAGCAGTCAGTGGTGTGTTCACTTCTACTATATTCAATGATGATGGTAGGAGTTCATCAGGTATGTCCAGTGAAAGAGCTTGTAATGTGTTGTTGTCATTTAGTAACTGTTCTATTGCCCCATCAGGTAGAGGAAAAAGAGGAGGACGAGGGGAAAATACATTTAGTGTCAATGATGTTATTGTTTTATTTCTTGTTACTCCTCTGATGACACTGATAATGGTACTTATTGCTTCATTCACTCTTTTATAATCAATTTTTATTTCTTTTAATGCTGTCACTTCTATACATTTCTCAAGTTCAGTACACTTTTCTGTGTAGTATGCATGGTCAACAGTTGGAATAGTAGGTTCATCCATTAATAAGTGCAGTATTTTCATTTGAGGAAGACTGAGGAACTGTAACAATACAAGACAAGGAACATATTGACCTAGACATCCTAATTCACAGTAGCACTCCTGAATATTGTATAGTGATGATAATTGTACTAAATGATACAAGATTTCATCAGTAGTTCTGTGCAATAACCACATTTCTACCCCTAGTCTCTTACACTGGGTTCGTAGTAAGTTATTGCTTAGTCCAGCAGTGAAGGCTGATAGTTCCTGCGTAGATACTTGCCCCAGGTGCAAGTGATTCCATGTTATGCTGGAATTGTTTATACAATAACTGAGACACAACCAGTCAAACAATGATAATGATGCTCTATCCCAATTCAGACACAGTGAGTGGTTGTTGATGGATTGTGCTAATACTTGACATAATTTTGTGTTTTGTGATTCATACAGGAGTTGAAGAAGAAGAATGGGAACATTGTGAACAGCATTAGAATGCAAATAAATTTCATGGTAGCAATAAAAGTAGGAGAGATAACAAGTCTCAAATCCAAAAGTTTGTTTTTTCTTACACTGTAAGTCAAGCTGTTTATTGAAATACTGTTGATAGACCTCATGTTCAAGGTGAGTTAGACCTGCAACAAACCTCAGACACATTCGAAAGTGATCATCATCAAAGTGATTTTTAAACACTTCCTCTGTTTTCTTCTCATGCTTAGCTATCCACCATGCAGCTAAAAATTCTTGTATACTCAAGTGAATGAACTGATACTTTTTCTTATCATATTCAATGAATGTTGTAATCAAACCGAGATAATCTTCCTTGACTGCCTCACTCAGTGACTGTAGTTCATGTGAAGAGAATGTCATTGTTGTATTAGCCAGGCTAGTATAAGCTAATTGACACATCTCTTGTAAAGGTTTAGCTAATTGTGATGGTAATGAAGAAGGACTATCTATATCATAAGGGTCAATATTATGTTTTGGTTTTATTTCCACATGTCTTCTGATAGTTTGTAGGATGAAGTTCTCATACAGTTGAGTGAGTGTTGTTGGTAAGTGTCCTCCTTCCTTACAATAAACTAAGATGACCATGGAACAGACTAGTGGTATATAACACAATGATTGGACATCATTTCGTAATTTAAGATCATTAATGAGTTTCACTGCTAGTTGCGAGTCCTCACTGCTTTGAGTAGTTGTAAAGTTTTCTTGTTTTGCATCATCTTCGTTTTTCTTATCAATGAGTTCTTTTGCTAGTTTTGTATCTTTTTGAAGTGTTTGTATAATTACTGTTGATATTTCTTCCTCAGAAAACCCAATGACCTGAACATGTCTACTGAGAGTATCTATTTTCAAAAGTGAAGAGGAGGCATAGCTACGAGAGGTAACAATTACTGAACATTGATCTAGCTGCTTTCTATAAATGATATTAGTTGCTAATGAAGACTTTCTGAGTTGTTCACTTAGTTCATCCCAACCATCATAGATTATCAATAATCCTTTTCCATTCCCTTTCTTGAGCCATTCCATTACCATTGGGACTTCATAACGTTGCCACAAAAATAGGTCAGCTAGTGTTGTAGCTGTAGCTATCTTACTATCCCTTAAAGGACAGTACAGTACCAAGTCATACTGTTGGTGTACAAGTGTTCCATTAGACCACATGTTTAACAGTTTACGACAGAGTGTTGTCTTGCCAATACCAGGAGGACCATCTATTACTACTCTGAGAGACAATGAACTATCTGTGGGTTGGAGGACACCTTCAATGCTTATCTCTTTGTTTCCAGGTAGTTTGAGTATTTTATCAACTTGTCCTCTTAGCAGATGCCAAGCTGATTCTGTTTGTGTGCTGGAGTCTTGTTTTTCTACTAATGCTAGTCTTCCAAAGAAATCTTTTCCAATTCTTGGTGGCCAGTCCGTAGCAACAATAGGTTGATGTTTGTAGTGTTGTTTTATATTGTCAGCATATCCTTGAACATCATCAGGTATTGAACTAATTGATGTGACACTATCAGGTATAGACTGACCTAATGTATTGAGGTATATTGATCACTGATTATGTGCACACACACACTCACCTAATTCATGTAATATAGAGGTAGCAATATCTGTTAGTGTATGATGTTGTTGATTTACTAATATGTGACACATATCACTTAGATACTGCTCTGGATTAAGAGAGGATTGCAACTGCTGCTGTATCACAGACACTAATTGACTTGATTTTCTATAATCAGATATTCCTGTTGCTGTTTGTACATATTCTTTAGTATCCAGTGGTATCAGTCCTTCAGCATACAGTGCATCAGTTACTCTGTAAAGGTTAGTGGTAATAGCATCAGTGAGTTTAACAGAATGAGTCCTTGCTATATCTTGTGGATTACCTGAAGTAGTGTACCAGTTAATGAGTATTGTGTTAAGTGTATGTTTACCTGATGTAGTACTAGTAACAGGTTTATCAATTACAGAAACGGATAATGATACAGTAGATACCACTGGTGTACTAGAATTAGGAGTGTCATTAGTACCTATTGTATTAGATAATATTATTTATTTATGTTTATATATGGGTAAGTACATGATCATACCTCCTGTACATGGATGTACTTGTAACTGATCATTAATAGTTTGTAATAAATTGATTTCTTTTCTTTCAGTCAATGCATTGAGTACATCTCTCCATGTTGCTGTAGGATTTGTATTCAACCACTTTGAAAATAAAACTCTTTGTTGGTGTTCAGTATCTATTTGTTCAATTGTTGTAATATCTTGTTGTGTTATTCCAGGTAAGAGAAGACCAAATGATTGCCAGTCAGCAAGTGGTTCAAGCCATTGAAGCAATAGGAAAATATCAGGTTGATCATCAATCATAGGACCAGGATTGCGTTCAACATCTCCTGATAAGAGGAGGAGCATACGTAGACAAACAATCACATAAAGATCATTGTAACTCAGGTTAGAACTGCTGCCTCCAGGTAAGACTACTGACTGGAGGTAATTTGTGCCAGTAACAGTAACACCAGTAGTACATTGTACTTGGTAGCAGTTACCTTATAATAAAATACCAATAAAATTTACAAAACGGTTGT